AAACAACTGCACCTCCCAGTCGCGAACCATTTCAACTCCCCCTCCCATTCCTCAGACGACATGTCCATCCTGGGCCTCCTGCAGTGCCACAACGATGCCACCCGAAGGTTGCAGGAACAGCAACTCATATTCCGCTTGGGAACCCTGCAGCCCAATGGTATCAATGTGGATTTCACAAGTTTCAAAATCTCCCCTCCCCCTACCGCATCCCAAAACCAGTCCAGCTCGTCCCTGCCTCCCTAACCTGTTCTTCCTCCCACCTATCCCCTCCTCCCACCTCAAGCCGCACCTCCATCTCCTACCGACCAACCTCATCCCGCCCCCTTGACCTGTCCATCCTCCCTGGACTGACCTATCCCCTTCCTAACTCCCTACCTACACTCACCTTTCCTGGCCCCATCCGCCTCCCACTCTCTCCCTATTTATTTCAAAACCCCCTTCCCCTCCCCCTTTTCTGATGAAGGGTCTGGGCCCGAAACGTCAGCCTCTCTGCTCCTATGATGCTGCTTGGCCTGCTGTGTTCATCCAGCCCTGCACCTTGTTGTCTCGGATTCTCCAGCATCTGCAGTTCCTACTATGTCTGTATGTAATTATCCTTTATAGAAAATTGCATAAATATCAGCCTAAGAATGAAATCCAAAGTTGCCTCATTTTATACAAATTTTTAAATATTTTGTTCATTTGTGGGTTGTTGATGTTGCTGGCTCGACCAGCCTCTCTAATTGTCCAAAGGGTCAATAACACTGCTCTGGGTCTGGAGTCACATAAATACCAGACCAGGTTAAGACAGTAGCAAATTTAGTGAGTCAGATGAGTTTTTTCCAATATTCGACATACTTTGTTAATGATTTAAATGTTTTTCACATCATTTTTTTCTTTTCCAGGATCCTGTTGTTTTGGCATTCGACATTGAGACTACAAAATTGCCATTAAAATTTCCAGATGCTGAGAATGACCAGATCATGATGATTTCCTACATGATTGATGGACAGGTTTGTTTAAGTGTTTGTAATAAAAGTGAAATCTGCAAATGTTAAAAAAGCAGAGCAGGTTGATTAGAAATTGGAATAGTATGAGACCTAGTAGATTTTTAAAAATTTAGTGTTATAGAGTTGGGCATACAAAATAACACGTCAATGGGAAGACGCAGTGGGGCAAGAGCCCAATTTTAACACCACCAATATTCAACACTACTACTTGAATCTACAAAATTTTATTTGAGTTTTGGCTAAACAGCATTCAGGCTGAAATGTCATGTTTTGGCATTCAGTGCAAGCCCTAACATTGTCACCCATTTTCTCCCCCTCCTTTGTCACTAAATTGGAAGGTTTGGAACTTTGCATCCTTTTGAAAAATGAGCTTTGGACCCCTGTCCTCTACACTGCTGCTGGCTTTCACATCTATAGCAGCCCATCTTCAGCATTTAAAATAAAAACTCATCCAAGAGTTTGCCATCACCTCCTCGCTGATTAGTTCAATGCTTTCCTTTCTGACCCTAAAATTTGGTTCGTGTATAATCTCTGATGCCTCTATCTCAGCCCACAATAAGTGCTGCTTAGCCATTACCCCAGTCCTACTGATTCCTAGTCACTCTTGAGCCTCATCTCTCCATCCTGTAATTCTCCCTTCACACACAATCCTTGGTTCAACCAACTATGGCACATATATAAACTGTCAAATGTTAGCAACGGTACTTTTAACCACCCAGTCTCTTATTTTTTTCCTTCAAGGTTCTTGTTAAAATGCACCTATCTGACCAAGCATGAGGTTCTCCTCTGCATCCATTTTTGCCTTAGCATCTATTTTCTTCTAGTTAAGTCTCTGGTATGTCTTTGTCTTTGTGTGTTAAAGCTGAGAAATGCAAATTGTTGGATTCTTTCTAGCTGTTGCTGATGTCCTACAGGGCAGTAGTTAATGTATGCCGTGAAATGACTAGCAAACATAATATTTACTTTAGTCTTTTTTTTTAAAACAGGGCTATCTGATTACAAACAGGGAAATTGTGTCTGAAGATATTGAGGATTTTGAGTTTACACCAAAGCCAGAATATGAGGGTCCTTTTTGTGTATTTAATGAACCAGATGAGGTGGGTGAAATCTGCTTGGTTTAACTGTTAGCTGATTTCACACTGTATTTGGGAATGTTTTTGTTCAGAAATTTAGCTTTTATGCCAAGGCCTCGTGGTAGAATGTATAGTACGAGCTATTTAGGGCTGAAGATCCAATTTCACAGGTCTGACTTCTGTCCAGCACATGACTTTCTTGCTTTTCAGAAAATACTTTAGCGATTTGTAAATGTTGCCTTTGAATTTTTTTGTTCTTTAGGCAAGCTTAATTCGCAAATGGTTTGAACACCTTCAGGAAACAAAACCTAACATACTTGTGACATATAATGGTGATTCTTTTGATTGGTGAGTGTGTTTTTATTGTTCATACAACATTGATTGCTCTGGATTCTTTCTAGGTGGAATGAGGGATATTGTTCAGATTTGCTGCCAGTGATATTTTCACTGTTTCTAAGTCTTCTCATTGAGTTTTTTTATACTGAGAATAGCTATTCACTTAACTTTCCCTTTTATAGAATTCCGTCACAACAAGCAACCTTTAAATAACAGTAAACATTATTTAAGCTGCAAATTACAATGCACAAAATAAAATATGAAATTTCATAAGCTTAATTATGTGATGTTGAACCATGCTATCTCAGCAGTTGTGGGTTAGGAGGGTTGCAGTATTGTAATGCAGAGAGCAAACATTAATCCTGAACATCCTGTTTAGTACGCAGAGTGAGAAGTGAAAGCCACACAAAGTTGCTGGTGGAATCTTGTACATAGTCTATATTCATGACTTAGAACCTGGAATTTAAAGCACAACTTTAAATCTGTAGACATCAAATTGGTGTGGTATAGCTACTGCATGATACAGGAAGATAATATTTGTAGAATGGGCATATAATTTTCAAATTAAGTAATTACAAAAGGGTACAAGGTTATGAATACAGAATCTTTCAAAGTTGTGACACACATCAGTAAAGCCCCAATGAAAGCAAATTAGTGCTAAAGAGTTCAGATCTGGAAGGATCGTTTTGATAACTAAAAAAGTGATATTAAATAATACCATTAAATTGACCATACTGGAAGTACTGTGTACAGTTCTGGCCATCATATTCTTAAAAAAGAGACATGCTAGAGAGCATGAAAAAAAAATTCACAATAGTGCTAGAAATGCGAAGCTCTACATAAAAGCAAAGGCTGAAGAGGCAAGACTTTATTTTTTAAAAAACCTGTGAGGTGAAATAGACTTTATCATTTGTGGAGGATTTTCCTGATAGAGAGATTGTATTTCTACTTTTGGGGAAAATCAAAACTGGAGGCCAGCAATACACTGTAGTCACTAAGAAATCAAATGGGGATTTCAGAAGAGGCTTCATTACCTAGGGAGTATGGTACTGAATATTATGAAGAAGAGTTGAGGCAAATTGTGTGCATGCATTTAAGGGGATGCTAGATTTAGTAGAGGAGAAGTGGCAGATTTAAAACAGAAGAGGAAGAGTTACTTCTCTCAAGGGGGTTATGAAACTGAATTTATTACTGCAGAGTGTAATGGATCCCAGAGCGCTGAATGAATTTGAGAAGATAGACAGATTTTTAATTAGTAATGGCTAAGGGTGTTCCACCATAGAGGTCCAAGGAGCTGAATTGTCTCCTCTTTCTAGTTCTCTCTCTCATGAGAGAGAAAGGAATGGAAAGATTTGCAGATATAGTTAAGAAGAAAGATGGAAGACTCTAGATGGATCATTGAGTTTTTGGGCTGCATATTCTGTAATTGCCTGACATGTTAATCAGAGTTGAGAAATTTTCTATGTATACATTTTGGCTAATATTTCAATTTGTTTGTAGTAATTTACAATTGATTGATTAATAATCCTTCCTTACTGCTAATACTGAATGTCATGCGATATCATGTATCCTTATCATAAATGGCAAGTAAAGCTTTAATTTCTAGATGGTTTTACTTCTGACTATTCTTAACCTTTCTCCCAAAACACAATTTCTTTTGAAAATATTTGGTCCACTCTATATTTTCTCTAATCCTGTTTTGACATAGTGTTGGGGATTGAGTAAACCTGATTACCATTAAAATGTTTTCCTTTCTACATCTGTTAATTGCAATATTAGTTTTCAGCACCAGATGTCTTCAGTATTTTGCATGTATGATATACAATACAATGTATCATTTGAAGCCATTTACTTTGTAATGGGAAGTAGAAGAGTACAGTACAGTACTTTTTTCAGAACTAATTTTTACTTAATCTCTGCTTTCCAGGCCTTTTGTGGAGGCACGAGCTGCAGTGCATGGTTTGAACATGTACAAAGAGATTGGCTTTCAGAAAGATAGTCAGGGCGAGTTCAAAGCTAGTCAGAGCGTTCACATGGACTGCTACAGGTAGGAGATATGGGTTGATGAAGTTGTCTTTAATTATACATTTTTGAGGCCATTATTTCTCGATTTGAGTGCTAATGTCATAGTGGAAACTATTTCATTTCCTAGCAGTAATATATTTCAAAACAAATCTTATAAATACATTCCATTCTCAGCAGTAAGTATTATATATGTGACCTTCATTAAAGTGTCATGCTGAGATTGAGGACAATAGTCTGCTGGCCTATAGGCAAAACCCAATTTATTTTTCAATAATTGGAAATATGACTATCAGTGACCTGCAGTAGATCTTCGCATAAGTGTACCCAGGGGAAATGAATTCTAATCAGAGAGCATGAAAACAGACCCTTCGGTTCAACTAGTCCATGCCGACCATGTTCCCAAACTGAACTAGTCCCACCTACCTGCAGTTGGCTCATATTCCTCCAAACCTTTCCCATTCATCTACTTATCCAAATGTTTTTTAAACATTGTAACTGTACCACATTTCCTGTGGCAGTTCATTCCACACACTAAGCAGTCTCTGCTAAAAAAGAAAACAAAAGTTGCTGCTCATGTCCTTTTTAAAATCTTTCTCCTCTCACCTTAAAAAAATCCTGTAGTTTTGAACTCCCACACCTTAGGGAAATTTACTATTCATCTTATTTATGCCCTTCCTGATTTTATAAACCTCTACAAGGTCATCCCTCCACCTCCACTCCAGTGAAAGATGTCCCATTAATCATATAAGTCCCCCCCACTTCAGTATTGACTGCTTTCACCACAAGTGCATATAAGCACCTGTGTGTGCCATGTACAAGATTCACTCACCAAGGCTTCTTCCAAATTAGCTTCTAAACCTACAACCTTGACCACTTAGAAGGACGAACTGCAGATGGATGGTAGCACCATCACTTACAAATTTCTTTCCAAGCCTCACATCATCCTGACTTTGAACTACATCACTAGTCCTTCATAGCCACGAGGGAAAAATCCTGGTACTCTATTTCTAAATCCCAAGGACTGCAGCAGTTCAGAAAGGCAGCTCACCACCACCCTTTCCACAGCGATTTGTAACAGTCAATAAGTGCAAGCTCAGCCAGCAACGCCCATGTTGTTTTGAATGAGCAATAAAAACAAGTTTCTAGGATTCTTCATTTCATATGTTAAGATTGACCCTCATTTTCATTTCTCCACTTGAATTTTTGTTGGACTGAAACAATTTTTTTAATGGAATGCCCTTTCCTTAACAGGTGGGTGAAGCGAGACAGTTACCTCCCTGTAGGTAGCCAGAACTTGAAAGCTGCAGCTAAAGCTAAACTGGGATATGACCCTGTGGAATTGGATCCTGAAGATATGTGTCGAATGGCTACTGAGGAACCACAGGTGATAACAACACATGAAATAATACATGTCAAGAAGAACTGAAATGAGCAGTACTAGAAGGTGACAAGGAGTTCAATGGTTAAAAAAATGAGCAGGGGTATCTCTGAGGAAGTTATACCATTAGAAACTTGGTGGAATGGCAGAATGTGCTTGGTAGTAAGAAATATGGTACAAAATGATGTGGCTGATGTGGAAACCTGTAGTGAAGAATCTGAAGACAGTAACTTTATCATTGAGTAGAGACATTGTAAATTAGCATATGCATTTCGCTTGGGGTAAAATGACCAGTGTTATGATCCCAGATATTACCCTTCTACAGGACTGGATGTGGGGGTAGGGAGAGCTGTAGACAAAGAGGGAGGGGAGAGTAGCGGAATGATGGTGGTAGGTGGACATTGGTAGTAAGTTCAACCTGTTTGGTCAATGGGAGGGATGAATCCAGTTGGAAGCTGGAATTGAAGGAAGGAGGCGGTAGGTGGAATGGAAGGGAAGAGGTGGGGCTGGAAAGGGAGCCGGGGGGGATGGTTGAAAGGTTATTTGAAACTAGAGAATTCAATGTTAAGCCCTCCGGGCTTCAGGGTGCCCAGGCAGAAGATACGGTATTGTTCCTCAAATTTGTGATCTGATTCACTGCAGCACTGGAGGAAGCTGAGGATGGACATATCAGAGGGGAAGTGGGGGGGAGAGTTGAAATGGGCAGTGACCGGGAGGTTAGGCTGGCTGTTTTGGGCCAGGCGAAGATGCTCGGCGAAACGGTCACCTAGCCTACGTTTGGTCTCCCAGATGTAGAGAAGTCCACATCAGGAGCAACGGATGCAGTAGACTAGGTTGGAAGAGATGCAGGTGAAATGCTGTCTTGCCTGGAAGGAGCCCTGGATGGAGGTGGTTTGCAGGCAGATGTTGCATCTTTTACGGTTATAGGAGAAGGTACCGAGGGGTTGGAGTGGTTGGTGGGGAGTGTGGCGTGAAGTAAGGATTGGCGAAGGGAATGGTCCTTGTGGAAGGCAGAGAGGGGTGGGGGAGTTGAAGATGTTCCGAGTGATGGGGTCTAATTGGAGTTGCCAGAAGTGTTTGAGGATTGTACATTGGACGTAGAGGCTGGTGGGGTGAAAAGTGGCGACAAGGGGGACCCTATCTTTATGTTTGTGGGGTGGGGGGCTTTGTTGTTAGAGCTGAGGAGCAAGGAATAGAGGAGGCGCAGTGGAGGGCTATCTGGATGACAGAGAGAGGGGGGGAAAGATTGTTGTTTGAAATAGGAGGACATCCGGGATGCTTAGGAGTGGAACGTCTCCTCATCAGAGCAGATGCGACGGAGACTGAGGAATTAAGAGAACAGGATGGACTCTTTAGTGGATACAGGGTGGAAGGAGGTGTAGCCCAGGCAGCTATGGGAGTCTGTGCGTTCATTGTAAATGTCGGTCCGTAAACTGACACCAGAAATGGAAACACAAAGGTCAAGAAAGGAGATGGAGGCGTCTGGGATAGACCACGTGAATTTGATGGCGGGATGGAAGTTGAATGCGAAATCGATGAACTGCTCCAGTTCAGCCTGGGTGCAGGATGCAGCACTGATGCAGTCATCAATGTAACGACGGAAGAGTTGGGGAACAATACCAGTGTACGTACTGAAGAGAGACTGTTCAATATAACCAACAAAGAGGCAGGTGTAGCTGGGGCCACATGTGAGTGCCCATGGCCACCCCTTGGATTTGGAGAAAACGGGACCAATTGAAGGAAAAGTTATTGTGCGTGTGGACTAATTCGGCAAGGCAGAGGAGGTTATTGGTGGTGGGTGACTGGATAGGTCTGTTGGAGAGGAAAAGAACTGAGGGCCTTCAGGCTGTCCTTATGGGGTATGGATGTGTATAGGGATTACACATCCATACTAAAAATGAAGCGCTGTGGCCAAAGAAACTGAAGGTTTCCGAAGAGGTGGAGGTTGTGGTTTGACCCCGGATGTAGGTGGGGAGTGCCTGGATCAAAGGGGAGAGAATTGAGTCGAGGAAGGAACTCCTCTCTTCCTACCATGCCAGCTACCAACCGGATTCATCTTTCCCATCGACCAACCAGGTCGTACCTACTACCGGTGTCCACCTATCACTACCATTACACTGCCCCGCCCCCCCCCCCCCCCCCACCCCACCCACCCACCCATCTGCAGCTCCCCATACCCCCGTATCCAGTCCTACGAATGTCGGGGAATTCAATTCTTGGAATTGGAGGCAGCACGCTGAGCCCGAATGATAACAACGTTTGTGAAGGGGAGACAATAATACACCTGACAGTATAGGATACTGTGGTAGTAGGAGGCAGAATTTGCATTACAAGTACAATAAATTACATTTTAATTGAAATGTAAAAATACATACAGCTAAAATCATTTATGGTGTTTTATTTGTTGAAAGTTTTAAGGTGATGACCTATGACCAAATAATAGTGGAATTACACGTTGCTAATTACTAATGGGTCTTTATTTTCTATTGCAGACTTTAGCCACTTACTCAGTCTCTGATGCCGTGGCTACCTATTACATGTACATGAAGTACGTGCACCCCTTCATTTTTGCCTTGTGTACAATCATCCCTATGGAACCTGATGAGGTATGTATATAAAGTCATGAGGTTTTTCTTAAATTAATACTCCATTTGGGTGATGCCTGCAATCATGTGTTTATTGTCCATCTTTGTTATCCTGAGAAACACTGATGTATCTTCTCCTTGAGCAGCTCCCGTCCTTCTGATGGAATTCCTATGATTATTTTCAGTACAGAATTTACGTAACCAAGAAAAGGCAGCACCATCAAGATGGTGTTTGGAGATAATGGCTTTACTGTGATAACACTGCTGTTCTTTCTGGTGTTTTGAGGTGGCTATGATGGGCTTCCAACAAGAATAACCAATTTCTGTTTCATCTGGAATTGCTTCAGGGCTAGGGAGTTCTCTAACTTCACTCAGTTTCTCTAACTTCACTCAGTTTTTCTGTTTCTTGTGTGTCACACTTCTTTGAATATCGGATGACTGCTCTTTTCTAGGTCAAAGTTGTGATGAAATTTGGAGCAGTGTGGTTCTGGCAAAAGTCAAATTATGACCAAAAGTAAACATATTAAAGATCAATTTCATTGTACCTTTAAAGAGCTGAATATTACATAATTATACAAATGAGTAAAAATAATACCCCTTTAAGGCAGTGGCTTAGTTAGCATGCTGTTCCATGAAGTATATTAGTTCATCCTTGTCCCTTCTCATAAATGTCTAGAGTTCCCAAGCTGAGTATCTATTTGCCACCATAAATGAAAGTTATACATTGCCAAAAGCGGAAGAAAGGGAGAAATTCAGAGGCCATCTGGAACTGCTCTTGTTCAACTACAAATCTTATAGCTAGGTTTTGCTTACATTTTTATTTAACCAGAATGTTGCAGGGCCCGGAAAGATTTATGATTGGAAGGAAACGTTTCCACTAAAAGAAGGTACATGGTTTAGTTTTCAGCCCAAAACAGACTAGTTTTGGAAATATTAAAAATTCAATTTCCAGTAATTTGAAAGCTTTGACTCGCTGCAAATTTGTAAATCTAGTGACAAATGGAATTCATTGTGGAGAAGTGTGATGTCATCTATTTGAGTTGTGAAATAATGTTGGAATGGATGCGGAGGAGCAAAGATTTGGGTGTTAAAGTATGCAAATAATGAAAAGGTCATTTTCATATACAAAATGTGAGCAAAAATGGATTTTTTTTAAATTCCAAGGGACTGGAATATAATAGTGGTCCTTGAGTTGTACAAAGCCTGGTTGAACACTAGCTGGAGAGTTGTACATTTTGGGCACCAAACTTCTAGAAGCACTGGCCTTTTCAAGGTGCATATCCACCAGTGTATCAGTTGAAAGGATATTTGAGGGCAGTCAACTCAAAATTGCCTTGTTTCCACTGAATTTTGAAGGCTGATCTAATTTATCATTGATATTTTTATAGTGTGTATAATAAAAGGATTTGATAGGGTGAGTACAGAAAGAAGCGTTTCCTTTGGTGGGGTAGCCCACAAAAAGGAGGCATCAAGATAATGGAGCTCAGCAGTTCGAAATTAAAATCTGATAGCACTACTTCACAAAGATCTGAAAATCCAATCCCTCCCAAAAGGTTTTGAATGTTTCAATTCACATTTTTCAAGATTGATTATTTTGGTGGTACAGGTATTAAGGAATTTATATATAAGGCAAATAAGCAGGTTTGAAAGGCAAATCAATGATCTGTTGCATGATGAGACACTGAAAGGCTCAAACCTGTTTCCACCTTGTTAGCTGAGATTGTAGGAACTGCAGATGCTGGAGAATCTGAGATAACAAGGTGTAGAGCTGGATGAACACAGCAGGCCAAGCAGCATCACAGGAGCAGGAAGGCTGACGTTTCGGGCCTAGA